AAAATGAGACCAATCGACCAATCACCGCAGATTAGCGTCACGCAAAGGAGGGGTTTGGAAAAATTAATCGTTGAGCGACTCGTTTGGGAGTCGTTGAGCAAGTAAGGTAAAAATAAATGCATATTATAAGACAATGAAAGTGTTTTTCGACCTTGCATGCATGTCAACCTGTTGTTGGGGATTCACAAAACCAAAATATGAACCTTTCATTACCCATAATAGGGGACACTTTAAACTACTCAATGAATATTTAAAAACCTCCTAGAGGTATTGAGTTTGTGTGTATTTGGCTTCCTGTTTCAGGGTTGGTTAAACAGCATAGTCGTGAACTCCATGAACTGCAGCCTCTGTACACAATAGAGGGTGACACGGGAGTGGATTTTCAAAACTCTCCCGTCCCAATCCCACGAAAAAAACTGGGGGAAAATCCCTTCCCGTCCCAATCCCGGAAGAATGACTCCCATTCCCCCCCATTCCCATGTTGTGTTTTTTTGGCCAGAATCTGTCAGTTACAGTAAAAAAAAATACAGTACAGATCACAGCATGCCCACTTTAGCTGAATAAAAATCCCAAATGTAGTTTTTTGTTATTTTATTGAACTGAAAGCCAGCTTAAACAATGCACAGTGTGCATTGCACACACATTAAATTTCATGTAAATCATCCATGCTAACACACACGTTTTCTATTTGAATTTTTCTTTCAAAAAAAAATTTTTTAATGACCAAAAATTACGGAGTATTTTAAGAGCAAGTGAGCGCATCCGGCGCCTCCGTCTGTCCTGCTGCGAGCGAGCTGCTGTTCAGCTTCCACACAGACACTTCAATACAATAGTCTACTACTTACATACTTCAATAAGCCATATTTGAGGTCGATGAATGATAGGCGAGTGTTTGGATTTCCTGCACGATGTACTCTATTACCACATAGACCAGCCGTTAACGATCTGTCTGTCATTTTCCTGTCCCGTCCCAATCACGTGATTAATAGTGATTTTGTTTCCCATCCCGCGGGATTCCCGTGACCCGCGAAATTCCCAAAAATATGTCAGTCTCTAGTACACAAGGTGAAGGTGTGTCCACTTCCTGCTCCTTTTAAGGTCTTACTTCTTGTGCAGAAGGGTGTATGCGTGTGTGCAAATGAAAGAAGTGCACACGACCAAAACTGGTATCTTTCTCATAGCCGACTGTCTGTTTATAAAGGAGGAATGCAACACTGAAAAATTTACAGTCTCATCTAGCATGCTAAATGCTAGCTCAAATAAGAACAGCTTGACATTTAAAGGTCTTTTTAGAGTTGTTTTAGCTTATTGAGTGAATCAACAAACCAGAGACCTTTTACAGATTCCATCATAATATTTAGAGACAGCTCTTAATTCTTTTGTAGTTTGACTTCCATAAAAGGAATACAAAAGTGTAGAACCTGTTGATGCTGTTTCATGCATGTTTGAGTAAAATTTATTCTAAGGAGTGCTTGAGGCTCTGTATGACTTCTGTATGTATCAGTGATGTATTTGGTGACAGTATTTGGGCTTAAGTTCGTCATTAGACATTCATATTTGGAAAGCTGTTAATGGCTTGACTTATGGGTCAAGTGGCTTTTAAAACCGTGAACTAAACAACAAGCTATGGATGATTTTGTTTTAAAGCTGTGGATGGGTAACCATGTGGAAAAAAATGTCCATCCCATATCCTCTCTGTGTGAATAATCCAATCCAGTGATTTCTGAAATAACAGGAACCCAAACAATGACGATGATGCCTTCAGAGGAGAAGAGAGTTTACACAAACCCATTCTTTATAGGGGCGGATTAAACCAAATATTCTTCTCCAAGTTGTCCAGTAGACTTGCATGAGTCTTTCACAAGTTCAGGCTCAGTCTTTGTAGTCCGCAAGAACAGTTTGTTTCAGGTCAAGAGGCACAGCCTCGCTCTGATGTAATTTCACCCAAACTTGGGTAGATAATGTTGAAACAAATATAGTAAGAAGTTGAATCATGTGAAGCCTCTCATGTCCCAGTCACATTTCGCCTCTAGACACAGAAAAAAACTAGGTAATTATATTTTTAATAAGGAGATAAAGGCAATTTTTTGTACCTGAAGACTTTTTGCACTGACACTGATTTTCATGACAGTTTTCATAGTAATTAATTTATATGGTTAATTTAATGAAAATAATGTCAAATAATGTTAAATCATAATTGTAAAAATAATCTTACTAGTACATAAAATGTTTTTTCTCTTATTCTTATTTAATTATTTAATTATTTTATTAAAATATAATATGATTCACTCAGGATTGACTATGTAGCATTGCATTACTGCAATATTAGCACACTATTCTATTTTAATGAGCTTTCAGTTCCCTTTCACCTTCAAGATTTCCTGTGTTGCAGACAGATTTCATCGCATTTTGTCCAGTCATTTTCAAACCAGTCAGTCTGAAAACAAATATACTTCAGCTTGGGCTTTTTTTCTTAGGAATGAGGAAAGTGATTTATTCTCTGAGCACTTCCCTGAGAATTATTGAAATATATCTTCCAAACCTGCAGAAAAATAAACAAAACCTGTCTGGAAGTCATCTGTGTGAGTGAATACTTCTATTGTATTGAAAGAGAAGGAAATGCTTGTCATTTTGCGTAGCACTTATCTTCAAAAATCATCTACAATTTTAAAATACAGAATTCTTTTGGGAATAGAAATGTAAATATGTTTGGGTTGTGTTTCTTTTTTTACCTTTCAGACAAAAGACCATCATAAACTTTATGATTGTTACCGTTTTTGTCATCTCCGCAGTAGCCTAGCGTAGGGCTGGACAATATGGCCAAAATTGATATCACGATATATTTCTTAATTTTGGTCGATACGATATAATTCCGATATCGATATGA